GGCTTTTCTGTACTGTGTCTCCATCTACCGGCAGGTCTGCAAAACTGCACACTCACGAGGTTTATGCGAGATCTGTTCCACTGACCTTGTTCCAGAAACTGGAGGTCAGAGACAAACGCAGAGTTGGCCTCGGTCAGAGCAGTGAATCGAATGTCTCCAATGTGTAATATCGCTGCCAGGATCACAAACAGATTCTCTACTTCCTATCCGTTTTACAAAGACAGAAAATGAATAGAGTTGCTTAGAAGAAAGATGAAAAGACAAATCCTTTAAAAACCTAATAGCTTAAAAAAACTGACATGGACCCCGTTGGTGGGGCTGTGACTTCTCAGATCCTGCGTGTCTAGTAAGAGAACTACCCATCTCCAGCTCGAAACCAAAATCGCGTTAGTGCACGTTTCCTCTAAATCAATGTCTCTCTGCTCCTTAAAAGAGGGTAAGGAAGTGATGCTCTGATATAAATGGACAGTTTCTAGATAAACCTCATACTGAAACAGGAATCACTGTGTCCTGATGGGTCGGACTGGCGGGCCATCGCCAGCGCGGTCAGATTGCATGCGTGCTCCCCGGGCTGACGCGGGGCTGCCCACTGAGGCTGCTTCCCGAGAGGCCACGGGCTCTGATGTCCATCTTCCCGTTATGTCCCTTCTGAGATAAACTGATGGTATGATTATCGGACTTCTCACTTCTGCTGGGAGATTCAGGAAGGCACGATAAAAGCATCTATGCCTACATTTAAAAATGCTAATTGTTTTTTAAGGTATCTTAAGGAAAAGAGAAAGAAATGGATGTTGGCAAGAGCTATCTTTGAGCAGAAGGGAGAAGGAAATAAGAGAGTGTCTGCTGAAAGAAGAGATCTGAGAATCTGGAACTCTGCATAAAGAAAGAAATTAGACCTTAAATTTGGTTTATGGACAGTCATTTTGTGGCGACAATGAAAAATCAAGAAAATCTGTAAGCTGAGAAATACACTTCTCTAGAACAAGTATTTAGTATCGTGATATCGACAGTAACACTGCTTGAGGTCCACACTGGGCAAGCGACACAATCTTTTAAACTCTCATTCTCCTAATCGGTGATTTTGCAATAAAAAGCTGCTGCCTGTGACAATTTACTAAGAACAACTCGTATTTGCTTTATAAATACATAGGTGGAGTAATGTAGCCCTTAGGACCTCCATGAATCTCCTCTAGAACTGCTAGTTTTCACCACAAAGTATAACTCTATCATCTTTAAAATGAGGACACGGACAAGGACAGTCTCCAAGTAATTTTTAGGTATAATACTCTAGGATTGTGGCATTACTTACAAATGGTTTTGGTGACCCACCAGTCACAGGTTATCGTTTCAAATTTCATGGAATTATGCTGGTTTGAGTAACAGTTTACTCCTCATGCTCCCTGATAACTGCTTTTCCCCCTTTGTAATAAATCCAGTCCCGCCTCAGGAGGTTTCCCAGTGGTGCTCTGCGAGGTAGGGACTTCGGAGACAATAATAAATTACTCTAAATTAAAAATCTTTAATAGAAGTATTAATTACAAAGCATAAGCTAGGACCCAGCAGATTTCTATATGAAATACATAAAACATCTGTGACCTTCTCCTTTAGGTAGGAAGGGTACAGCTCAGGTGAGAACCAAGTAAAACAGGGTAAATAGGTTCTGAGCTCAAGGATCTCAGAGTTTAGCGGTGGAGACAGAGTATGACCACTAGCCATACTACGAATTACGTGTGCTGAACACTACGCCCTGTGAGCAGAGAGTTGCTGTCCCGTCTGTGCGGAGAGTGAGCAACTGTCCCCCCACCCCACCCCCCACCGTCCCTCTGGGCACAGGCGCCTTGATGAGCAGGTCTTCTTCGAGGGCCTCGCCAGCCCAGACATACCTGGGCATGATCCATCCCTCCTAAGTGCACTAAAATGTCCCCATACTCATCGCCCTAAAGCATCTCAGTGACACAATTACCTTCATGCCTTTTGTTAAAATGCACATATTTCTTTTACCAAAAAGGTTGTAGATTCTCTTATTAGCTACCTTAGGAGGAAAGCATATTTTGGTCACCCTGCCTTTGAGAATCAATCATGGATTTTTAAAGCCCTGTTTCCAAGCAACGGGTACTTTGGTAGAATGATTCCTTTCCCATCTCTATCCCAGTTTCCTAGAAGGAAGCAGAAATTTTAGGCACAGAAGAAGGGGAAAAAAATAACAAGAAAAGTACAATAGTAGCAAATGCAAGGACAGAAAAGTGCAAATGGGTGGGAGTCACTAAAAGACAAAAATATAGAGATTGGATCATTAGAGAAAGAGAGAGAGAAAGAAAAAAACAAAAGACCATATGATTGTAGGTCCCTAGAATTCCCGTCTCTGAATGTGGTGAAGGTGAAGTGCCCAGAGCTATTTCATTTATATTCCCACATTTTGCTGTCCCGTGAGCAGTATCTATGTGGGCTAGGGAAAAATAAAAAATAAAAACAAAGACCCAAATCCATCAACTTACTATAAGAAAGAGAAGGTATATAAATCTATGGCTAAATCTGGGTGGCTAAACTGCGGGCATACCAAAGTTACCCCTGCAATCTCCTATTAACTGCCAATGAGGAATTGGCCATTAATTCAAAATGACACCAAACCAAATGAGGAGGGCACAGCCAATGTGTAAGGGGAAGAGGAATTTGAGGGGATGGTGGGGGGGGGGTCTCCAGGCTTATCTCATTTCAGATCTCTTGTCCACTAGACCTGTGCTGTCTGATTCATTAACCACTGACCACACAAGGCTACTTAAATTTAAATTAATAAAAAGTAAGAAATAAAAAATTCATTTCCTTATTCACACGAGCCACATTTCAAGTGCCTGCTAGCCACACATGGACCTACCATATTGTGAAGCACAGATCCAGAACATTCCCATGGGTACAAAAATTTCTATTGTGGAGCAGTGGTTTAAATATTTTAAATTGTATTTTTCCGCTTCATGATGCCTGTGGGTATTTGGTAATTCTTTAAGAATAAAAAAAAGCTTTACGTTGCAAAGAAAGATACCATAATAAGTCATTAGGTTACTTTTCAAAGCAATTCTTGGCAGCAAACAGTTCCTTCAGATTTGCCAGTTTTCTTTGGAGTTGGTCAATGCACAGTTCTTTAATCTGTTTGCTCACATGGTTCATTTGGGAAAAGGTCTCCTTGACCACCCTCTTGAAAAGAGATGCCCCTCCTCTGGTCACTATTTGTCTTCATAGGACCTGTGACCCTGGGCACAGTGTTGTCTAACTCCCCCATGGGAACATAAACTCTAGGAGGCAGAGATTGAGGCTTATTCTCTGCTAAATCATGAGTATTCCCACCAATATCCGGAATACGATAGGGCCTCGGTAAATGTTTTTGAATGAATAACTTTTGTACATTAGTAGAAGGTTGGTTTTCTCAGTGAAATATTTATGGTATGACTCACCAAGTGACTGAAGCCAATTACATTCAGGGCTTGTTTCAAAAGAGCGAATTTCTCCCTGTTCAGAGAATGCTCTGCTGTTGATACATCTTCTGGTAGGGTCTGGTTCAAATACCTGTGAGGACAGAAAGCACACAGCTTTATGGCTTGGCTTGTGGTCAAACTCCAGTGGTTACAAGTCACTTCCGCCATATTTGGTCCCCAGAATAATAGCAGCCACCTGGACATTGTGTACCCTGTGTTTACAAGGCTTTGATACATAATAGCACATGATGTTTCAGGAAGGAAAAAAAAAGTTCTTGTTGTACCAGAACCTATTTACCCTGTTTTACTTGGTTCTCACCTGAGCTGTACCCTTCCTACCTAAAGGAGAAGGTCACAGATGTTTTATGTATTTCATATAGAAATCTGCTGGGTCCTAGCTTATGCTTTGTAATTAATACTTCTATTAAATATTTTTAATTTAGAGTAATTTATTATTTCTTCTTGTCAATATCCTTTAATTATGTGGTAGTTGATTAATCTGTTGATTTATTCCTGTCATGCAACAATCACATAGGAATCACTTCCCAGACATAGAGTACTAGCAGCTGAGGATATACAGATAAAAGGCTCATCCCAGGAAGCTCAGCACCAACAAAAGCGGTATATTGCTGTGCTCAGGAAGGAGAGAATATCATATACAATATACAGTAGAGTATATTAGCAGAATAGCAGAGATGGACAAGAGGTGTTTGTAAGTATTCAGGGAGGGGACCAAACCCAGAATGGATGATGCAAAAAAGCCTGTGGGAGAGGAAGAGGCTTCCCATCCAAAGCGGACACTTGAATAAGAATTTTCCAAGCAAATCCAGGACTTCAGGGTGCTCCTGGAAGACTTAGCAACATGTACAAGGACACACAGCCTTGCCCATGCATGATGTATACAGGGACACAGGTATGTGGGCAAAATTGGAGTCTGTGGTGAGAGAAGCAGAACTCAATGAGGCTGGAGATGTAATCAGAGGTTTGTCTCTCTTGCTAAAGAGCTTCCATTATCTCTTAGAAATGATAGGCAGTCCTAAAGGTCTTGAAACAAAGAAAGGGCAGGATCAGAGTGGTGTGTGAAAAAGAGTATTCTGATAGTCCGGTGAAAGATAACCTGTAACAGGCAGGGCTACTAAGGACTTGGTGACCAGTGAGACCAGTGGTGGTGAAAAAAAGAGGAGGGACAGAGGTGTCGTGGAGGCAGATCTGGCTGGATGAGGGGACTGACTGGATAGAGAGGAAGGAGAAGGGCGAGGCCTTAATGATGCTTTCCAAGATGACATCTTGGGAAACAGCCTGCAGAGTGGGCTCATTCAACCACAGCGTTCTGAAAACGAGGGGTATGTTGTTGAGAGAGAAAGTCTTCTCTTTTGTATTAGTCATGTTGACTTTGACCTACTCATTGAAGTTCGAGGAGAATTCCAAAAAATAATTGGCTGGAAGGACCTGAAATTCAGAAAAGCCTAGAAAACAAGATCTGGAAGTCATCAACGTGCAGATGACTAAAACCATGTGACTGGGTGAGCTCACCCCAAAGAAGACGCTAACGTTCTAGGGATGAAGAAAGAACTGAATGATCGGGAAGGAAGGAGGAAAATCATAATAAGCCAGTCATCAAAACAAAAGGCTAACATTTTTTAAGACTGATGGATGGGGACAGAAAAGAAACGAGAGAAACAAGGAAATGCGTGCTGTTGTGGGGAGGACACAGACCACAGTCGGCGCTGTGCAGGTGGGGCTGGGAGCCCATCTCCTCCCTTGGTCCCAGCTCCGAAGCATACAGGTGACACAGTCTAGCCTCTGGGGTGGGAGCCGGGAGGGCCTTTGGAATGGCTATGTGCTAAGTTGGAAGCACACAGAGCCCGGATAAAAGGCTGACAGAAAGGGAGCTGTGGGGGTTTTGAGGAGGGAAGAGGGTTTGGAACGGGTTACAGTGGAGGGTGTGCCTCGCCCTGCAGAGGGGCTTCCCCGACCTGCCGGGTAAGGTGATAAATACGGTCCGGAGGCGGCTAGCATCTCAGAGCAGCCCCTCTGAGGCTTCAGTGCTTCTAGGAGTTAGAAGTTGGATTATGAGTTGGGATGGGCAATGGAACCAAAGGAAAAGGTCAAGGCAGCAATATCAGTGAGAACCTGAGTTATGGTGGTCAGTCATTTTGCCTAAAATTTACAAAATTTTAGCGACTCAAAAGTCTTAAAAATAGGAAATTGCAACCTCTCTCAAGTCCCCTGGTTCCCACAGCAGCTTTCCCAACTCCCTGATGCCATCTTTTCTTTCCCACTTACTAGTTGCCCATTGCCTAGGTCCGTATCCCATCAAAAGACGTCACCAAGAACCTCTTGCAAAGAACAAGGGGCTCCCATGAATATTACAGAGTCAAACGGGCAAAATACCACGGTTTCTTTTAAAATAATAAAAAGTAATCAATTATGATGCCCTTAATTGATGGGCCATTTTAAATATTTCAGCATCCCCACCCCCCTTGTCTTGTGTCCTTACAGTAGAGAATTTCCAGCAGCTATGACCTGCTGCGTGGAGCTGTGAGAACAGGCATTCTCACTTCCATTACATTCTGGATGGAGGAAGCCATGTGAAATTAACCCTGGTTGTTAAGTATGAAATGGTCCAGGAGAAACCCCATCACAATCGAGGCTTTCAGAGGACAGTTTGCCTGATGGAGGAACGATGCTTGAAGATGGGTTGTATTTTTCTCTGTAGCCAGAAAACTTGTTGGCATGAAAATGACCTCCCCCCCAAAAAACAGAACTCAATGTCTTCTATATAAATTTAAATTTTCTCCCGCTATTCAATAGCATCTAGAATGATCACTAGAAGTATAGTTCTTCGCTATCCATAAAACTATATCTTAAGATGGAAAGGTTAGTATCAGAAAAAAAATTTAAAGTTTATTTTTTGGAGATGAAAAGTACTCACTTTCCCTTTGACATTATTTATTAATGAAACCACACATAAGGACAGGGAAATACTTGAAAAATATGCCCAGAAAATATTACAACCAAGAATCTGGAGACTTAGAGTCAAGTCCAATTTGACCCTTTTGGACAACATTTTAAACCTTTATTTTCTTATCTGTAAAATGGAGTGTAAGTAGATTAAAAATTGACTAAAAAATTCTCCACTTGTAGTTCATGATGATTTTATGAGAATCAAATAAGATATTGTGTGTGGTATGGTTTCTACACTCAGACTGCAATGCACATGTAGAGTATGTTTCCTGGAAACAGTGTATCTTACACATATGGGCAGCTTTTAGTCAGCGTGCTCTGTCATTAATGAAGCTTTTAATCATATAAATAACCAATTCAAATCAAGGAACATTTTGAGATATTATAACAAATGTTATTGGCAACACAGAATATTTTAAACTATAAAATATGTTTTTCTGTTCTTCTACAGATAAAATAGATGAAAGGAATAGAGATCATGGTTCTCACTTCTTGATGATTTTTTCGTGATAAATTGAGTAGCATGCAATGTTAATGCCTGCATGTGCAGTATTACCATGGTATTTCCAGATGTTTCTAACACTTGGAAATAGCTCATGATGATTGTGGGTTATGGGTTACAGACTCCCCTGTGGAAGCGATACTCCACTGAGGTTTTCCCATCATCACAACACAATGGCTGAAAACCACCCGAGATGAATCTGTGTAAGTGTTTCATCTGTTTCCAACTTGTCACCTAATAATTAGTGGTCCCACAATTCCCAGTACTGAAATCTCAGAATTAATGTGTTTTTAATCATCTCTTTGATGACTCAAAAGAGTACACTTACTACTCAAATAATTTTTTTTAAATCATCTCCTTCTCATTCATATATAACTTGGAACAGTAATGTTTGGCAACATACAGAAATCTCAGAGTCCAGTGTCAGAAGCAACAGAGATTGTCATTTGTTGAACCAAGAATCTTTGCTATTTTGTTTTGACAGGCTTGGCAAATCGAGGGTATGCTCCAGACGAAGCTTCTACCCTGGAGCAGAAGAGTAACATGTGGGTTCTATAATGTTAAAAACTGTAGTTGGATTAACACTGCTTGACTAATTCTACTCAAAGGGAAAGGCAGTGTGAACGAATCATTCTCGACTGTATTTTTCAGAAGCACTGCTTCAGTTCATCCTCACGTTGACCTTGAAGAGAGGACCTATCATTGCTCCCACTTAAGGTGTAAGGGAGCTGAAGTTTCTGGAATGCCTCCCAGCTGTAAGTGGTGACCAACACACACTGGGTCCAGAGCCCCCAGGGCTCCCTGAGCTCAGTTACAGGTTTCCGGCAGGGAAGACCAGTCTTATGGCTGCACTGCAGGCCAGAAACAGAGCAGCTCCCAGCTCAGGGGAGCATCTGGGAAATGCTGCCGAGTGCATGCTGCCTCTGCGTAGGGGTCTACGCACTGCGGCGAGGCCTCCAGCGAAAGGCCCAGACACCTCTGAAGCATCTTTGATGTTATAATGGAATTCAGTGGTGGTGAAGACTGAGGGAAAACCACTGCGTTGGATGGTGGGTTAAGGTAAGGAATTTGATGGTCTAGGTCAGAGAGACCCAAACATACATCTTACCCCAAAATTCACACCACACTACTAAGACAGGCTTAGCGTGAGTGAGTAAAATCCCAAGGATTTAACGGTTGCGAAGAGTAATCTGACCAAAGGCAATATGTGAATTTAGGCTACATTAATGGTCAATCTGTAGATATTGTCATCATCCCATCATCATCATCAATATTAGTTTTTAATTGAGAATTTGCTATATAATAGTATTTCTACGTAAATCCAAATACGCAGTAAGAACCTACAAGGAAGTAGGTTTCAATGCAGCATCAGAAAATATTTTCTAATCAACAAACGTTCTGGACAGCCATGCATTGCTTTTAAGGTAGTAAGCTCCCTGTCATTAGCAGGTAAGCTGAGGCTCTACAGCCATTTAAATGGGTTTGCCGAAAGAGATTCAAGGATCAGAAATCGGGTTGCATTAGATGACCTGTACTGCTGCTGGATGGTGATGTTCATGCTCTACACCACATCACTGTAGTAAACATTGTGTTACTTCACACCAAGAAATGTCAAAGTGTACAATTCAACTCTTTATGCGTACACTCCAGGCATGATGTGCAGACGGGCACATGCATTTACTGCACACGTGCATGTGCCTAAGCAATATTTAACTTGAATTTAGGAAATGTCATTAGTACATATTAAAACTCTGTAGTCATGACAACATATTTAGCTCTCAATAGGACTATGGATAATTCTATTTACAGTCCTATCAAGAAGCAAATAATTTGCACTGAAGTAAATTAAATGATGCAAAGTCAGAGATTTATTTCAATACAAATCTTGACTGAGTATAATTGCATGATGGTTCCTCTGTTCAATGGTGGAGGAAAAACGTGAAATGAGATATTCAATGAGAAAGATGAGTATACCCTTATTTTTATCATGGGTTATTTATTATATAACTCCACCGTCTATGAAACAGATAAGGACAAGCTGATTTAGGAGGTCAATTCTATCAAAAAGTAGAAAATGAAGTTCTATGGTGGGAAAGTTATGTCCATCCTGATTTCTGGAAACAGTAGAAATATTCTACTAAAGAACAGATCTAAGTCCCCACTTTTTTCTGAAGACACAGTGAAGAGCTTGCTGTTCTTCCTCTAAGAAAGTCAGTATTGACTAAATGTTCTTAGGTTTCATTAACAAAGGACAAAAACACGGGAAATTAGGGATCCAATTTTGTAGAAATTTTGACAACACTGCTATCAACTATATAAAGTTATATTTTTAAAGAGTGAAGATTCTTGATCATAAGTGTTGGCTGAATTGGTCACCACAAGGAGACTTGTTAAATACTGCTTCACAGCAGATCTTGTCTCTACCACTGTTCCTGTTCATTCCTTCTCTCCAAATGTTAAGCATGGTCAATCCTTCTTGAGACAAATTCTAGGAAATATCTTTCTCAGTTCCTAAATTAATGAATCACTCCAAAGTCCTAATAGATGTAAAATGTGTTACTTAATAATGTTTCCATTAAACGGGTATTTAATAGCAGGGGCAAATACATAGACTCAGGATACAGAATCAACCAACCCCCAGTCTTTGTCTTCACAAAGCTCAGCCATCCAGACCCCAGCACCATTGCACACTCTGTAACTTACATGATTGACTTTACTTTTTTAACCTTCCCTTGGATAACGCTGAATCACGAAGCTGTGCTATTTTCTCTCTCTCTCCATGGGTAAGTTTAAAAAGTTTCAGGAAACCAAAATGGAAAGACAGAGGAATAGACGGCAGATTGGAGGTACATTTCTTCTTCTTTTTTTTTTTGTTCCATATTCTCCAATTCTCCAAGAACCAATGACTATTATGCATAACCAGAAAAAAAATCTCCATAAAACTATGATTTTCAAGAAAAAGGAGCACAATTCTATAGAGATTCATCCAGTGTGTTGTGTGTCTCAGTAATTTGCTTCATTTTATCGCTGAGTAGCATTCCCCAGTAGGAATGTACCAGTTTGTCACACCACGTGGTCACTGCAGGAACATCCAGGTTGTTTCTAGTTTGGGACTATTATGAGTAAAGCTGCTACGAACATTCGCATGCAGGTTTTGGGTAAATGGAAGTCTTTGTTTTTCTATAATAAATGCCAAGGAGTGCAAGAGCTTGGTCATATGGCAGCTTTGCCTTTAGATTTATATAAAAAACTGTCAGTGGCATCACTCTGACAGGAGGGCTGGGAATTCAAGGTAGTGCTGATATGATCTGAATATCAAATACAAACAATGACTGTTTGCAAAAATCTCCACTGTGGGATTTCAAGGGCCTGTGTCCCCTCCGGGTGTCAGCAGCTCCTATCTCCCAGAGGTACCAGGGACATTAAAATAACAGACGTGCAACTAGTAAATGAATACATTCTAGAGATGCAAGGCACAGCATAGTGATTACAGTCAACATAACTTAAAAACTTCACAGTTGCTAAGAGACTAGATGTTCATTGTTCTCACCATAAAAAAGAAATAATAATTATGTGACAGAATAGAGGTATTACTATATATATATATATGTATGCATCGAACACGTCGTACACCTTAAACTTAACACAATGTTGTATGTCAATTATATCTCAACGTAAAATGAATTAACGAACAAACAAATATCAGCTTCCCAGCCTTTACTCGCTGGGCAGCACCACTCACCAGACCCAAACCAACTCTGTGCCCAGGACACACTGGGAAGGACGGGCTCGAACACAAATAAAAGATATTACTAATTAAAGCCTCGTGCATGGCCCATTCACCAAGTCAGAAGCTCACCGACTGTGAACATGATGAATCTCTCAGGGTTTTATCTGCCCCTTATAAATACAAAAGAACAATGTCTTCTCTGTTGTGGGCAGAGCTGCCTTCTACTTGGGGATGTTTAATATGAAAACAGAAGCCAGATAAGGCAAAAGCAAAAAGTTGGCATCAACAGTTGGCACTGTTTACTAGTTTACCGATGAAGGTGGTAAACTACCCCTTCTTGCCCACCCACCCCCCACTTTGCTCCTAAAAAGGAAATTCTTTTCTTTATTGTTTTTAAAGTCTCTGGAAAGTATTAACGAATTTTAAATCCCCCCAAACTGGATATGAATAAGGTTTTTATTAACCACAGGTTCGGATACATAAATCTCCACCAACGAAAATATTAATATATTAGCCGCAAACTATTTTGTTTGGAAAGAGGAAACCCTGCCAGTGGTCCTCAGGAAAAAAACAGAATCCATTTAATAAATTATGCATTCAGAAAGACTTTGGGTCTTGTGACATTCCCAGAATAGTTTGTCCATATTTTTCTCATCAGTCAGAATATTTCTTCAAAACATCTGGTGAAACAAATTCTAAACTCTTACCATCTTTCAAATAGTGAGTGCTTACGGTCAACTAACTGGTTTCTTGAAAACGTCTAATTCCAAGAGCTGGGGGTGGAGGCCCAAGGACACAGTGGCTGCGTCTTGCACAAAGACTGAGGGCAAGTGTCTGGGGGGCCCGAACCCCGGTCTGCAACCAGGCCCCAAACCTTGTGTCCGGCATGGGCCCCCTTCTGCCAGAGGAAGGGGCACCTTCCCTTTTCTTTTCACAGAGGCACTCCCAGAGAACTGTCAATATTTAAATGAATGAACTGTGGTGGGGGAGAGAAATTATTGCTCAGAATGGGTGGCTTGGTCTGGCTTTCATGCACCTGTTTAACAAGCCCCGGCCGGAGGGGCTGCGTCTGCAGGGGTAGAGGAGGGGTCCATAGTGACTCATACCGAGTCACCCTGAGGCTGGCCCCAGCTCTGTGCACAGGGAGAGGCGGTACACAGTATATATAAATATATAAATATGCTCCAGGCAAGGTTGAACAGGTACCGAAATCCTCCTCGGGGTGGATCGTTATGAAAAAGCATTGTGGGGGTGCCTGGGTGGCTCAGTCGTTAAGCGTCTGCCTTCGTCTCGGGTCATGGTCCCAGGGTCCTGGGATCGAGCCCCATGTCAGGCTCCCTGCTTGGCGGGAAGCCTGCTTCCCCCTCTCCCACCCCCCTGCTTGTGTTCCCTCTCTCACTGTGTCTCTCTGTCAAATAAATAAGTAAAATCTTAAAAAAAAAAAAAAAAAAAGAAAAAGCATTGTGCAAGGTCATGTCCATAACATTGTTGTGAAGGATGAACCTCATCATCCCCCTGTGTTTTTTTGTTTTTTTGTTTTTTTAAGATTTTATTCATTTGAGACACAGAGATAGAGAGAGAGCATGAGCAGGGGGAGAGACAGAGGGAGAGGGAGAAGCAGGCTCCCCGCTGAGCCAGGAGCCGACGTGAGGCTCCATCCCAGGACTCTGGGATAATGACCTGAGCCGAAGGCAGACACTTAACCATCTGAGCCACCCAGGTGCCCCCATCCCCCTGTGTTTTAAATCCTGGGGTAGGCACCTACACTGAAACTCTTGTAATATATAAATACGACAGAAAATGCGATGCAGACGCAGGACCATCTACCAGCATCTACGCTGGGGAGCATGCTGTGTCCTGCTCTCCTCTGGGACCTGCCCATGAACTCATGGACTCGCACCAAGTGTTTCTGCAGTGCTAACCCTGAAAAAGCAGGCTGTAACCCACCTCTTCCAACTCGGTTATCCCCAAAGGGACTTCTACTTTCGTGTCAAATGAATTATTTCTATCACCTGCCCGACTTTACTCTTTCAGTCGGACCGAGTAGAACATTCACAGCATCCACACTTCCTTCTCTTCTGGCACTGTGTGGAACATCCCCTAACTGGGTCGATTCTTCATGCACCGTCAATCTAAGAGGTAGACCTTCCTCCACGTTCCCTGCAGCCTCTAGCATCTCAGCGGAAACCCAGGGACCGTGGTATTCGGTCTCCATCGGTTCAAATCCCCTGGAGCACGGCAGGAGCCTGGTCTCCCGGAACCCATTCCTGCTCAACAGAATCCATTTAATAAATTATGCATTCAGAAAGGATCATGACCTGAGCCATGTCATGATCTAGTTTCTGCATGAAAGGCAAAGTTCTCTTTTTGGAAGGGAAATTTAGTGAATCACTTCCAGGTCAAAACCCTTAAATCCTGACTCCCCAGTGTGGCTCATCAAAGGCCCACATGATCAGGCGCCGTATGTTCTGTTCCTCTAGCCTCTCCGTGTCCTCTGAGCTCATACACGGAACTTACCTTGGTCCCTCAGACAGACCTCATTCTTGTCCACCTCTGGGCCCTCACTCATCCTGCTTTCTCCACTGGGAACATAACCCACACATACCCAAGCCCCACAGAACATTCTGGATAAGTTCCATTGTTCTCGGCAGCCCACTTTCTCCGGGAAGTCTTGTCGGTTTGGATGTCCTTTGTACGAACTCCCCGAAACAGTGAATTTCCTCCATAATAGTGCTTTATCAGACTCTATGCAAATTGCCTGGACGTGGGTCCCCATGAAAAAGCAAGGCCAGCCTTGCGAAGTAGTTGTCATTCTGGATTGAAGAAAATGACTGTATGCACAGCCTCTATCAGATTAATCTTCCCAAACCGTACTGCCATCATGTCAGTGTTCGACTCATAAACATTTCGCCTACATCATAAATTCTCTTCCATGTTTTCCAAGACTCCTCACAACATGGCTCTTCCCCATCAGACTCTTCTTATTTTGTTGTACTTTGCACACACCTTCTCCCTCCCCCCTGCAGTTGGCCACCATGTGACTTAACATTGACCTACCCTGCTCTTTGTCACTTTCTCACCAGGATTCTCTTCCTGACCAGCCAGACGCAGGCACCAGGCCAGAAGAAGCTCTCCTGTCTCCAGCTTGTGGACCACAGATCTCGGGACTTCTCAGCCACCATAATCATGTGAGCCAATTCTGTATATGTACATGTATATTTCTATCTGTATCTGTGTATCCATATCCATATCCCTCCTACTGGTTTTCTCCAGAGAATCCTAATGAATACACTCTCCTTTCTCCATTTTATTTATTTACACATTTAATAGTTCTTATTTAATATATAGGAATTAAATGTCACCCATGTGACTGTTTTTAGAAAGAGAGCATGTCTTGGGCGCCTGGGTGGCTCAGTCGGTTAAGCGACTGCCTTCAGCTCAGGTCATGATCCTGGAGTCCCGGGATCGAGTCCCGCATCGGGCTCCCTGCTCGGCAGGGAGTCTGCTTCTCCCTCTGACCCTCCTCCCTCTCATGCTCTCTGTCTCTCATTCTCTCTCTCTCAAATAAAAAAAAAAAAAGAAAGAAAGAGAGCATGTCTTAAAGTTTCTCATGGGTTCTCACAAAATCTAAGTCATTAATGATAGCTTTTATAAACACCTGAAAGCTTCCACATGTATCTCAAAGTTTCCATATATACCTAGTCAGTTCCATGTATAGCCGGTAGGTTCTCAATATACCTGGAAGGGGCTAAATATAGCTGGTTGATTTATAAGTAGTGAGCACAAGCTCTACCCTTTCCCTTTGGCCAAAGATTGGCAAAACTAGATGAAAAATCCATGTCATAAAAATCAATTCTTTTGACAAAGTAAACGATAACCCATAAACACTACAGTGAAGAATTTAGCGAAGAAAGGTTAGTATAAAGCAACAAACATGCAGTAAATTATCAGAGGTATCAACCTGCTCTATGTCTTTACAGAAGTTGTAGGAAAGAAGTAGGACAATATGGAAGGAAGACAGGAGTGAGGAAATAATAAAACAGCTTTAAAGAAGAAACATAAATAGTTCACTTAATTAGTTTGATGGCCTTTCCTGATAATTAGTCAGACAGTAAACTTAACCTTCGGCAAAAACACGGCATGTCCACATCTTCTGCAAAGGCGCAAATCCCACAAACAAAAGCTCAAGGCCCGGCATCCGTATGGCACCCAGAATTATGCGAAAATGTTTCCGTCATGTGAGTAAGAAACATCGTCACCTCGGTTTCAACAAATGGCGATTTTTATAGAGAATTTGAGATGATTAAAATAAAATGTACTATATAATTTTTAAAAGGTTTTAAAAATAAGGAAAATCTCCTCAACCACAAGACCTTATTAAAATGTAGATTGTCCCTCGTCAAGTAATCTAGCCCAAGACCAAATATTCAATCAGATGATGTCAGAAATGCAACATGTTCATAAATTCGAGTAAATGCCTTATTTCTCCTTTTGCTAAATATCAATTCTTATTTAAAACCTGAACAAAATGATTAAGTTAGCACATACAAAAACATTTCTTTGCCCATAACTGACCTAAGAAGAAAGGGATGGAATATGTGGGCTCTACACCAAGATCTTCTATCTACTGTACTGCTTTTCGCTCCCATTTCTTAGTAATTTCTAATAAGGTATGGCTGTGGACTTGTCGTTGTCATTCTAAATACACTACCTATGTTCAATAAGATTATATATCATACAGGGGTGCCTGGGAGGTTCGGTCATTTAAGTGGCCAACTCTTGATTTTGGCTGGGTCCTGATCTCAGGGTCCTGGGATCAAGCCCTCCCATCCGGCTCCACACTCAGTGGGGAGTCTGCTTCAGATTCTCTCTCCCTCTGTCCCCCCCACAGCTCGTGCTTGCACACATGTTCTCCCTCTCTCTAAAGTAAACAAATAAATCTTTCATTAAGACAACTCAAGACACAGGGCTCCTGGGTGGCTCAGTTGGTTCAGCCTCTAACTCTTGGTTTCAGCTCAGGTCATGAGATCGAGCTCTATGTTGGGCTCTGAGCTGGGCATGGAGCCTGCTTGAGATTCTCTCTCTCCCTCTGACCCTCCTTGCTTGCTCACCCCACCCCCCTGGGTGCATGCATTCTCTCACTCAAAAAAAATTATATATCATACAAAAATATCATCCACAGATGATATTACAATGAAGAATGTTTAAATATGGAGCCAAAGTAATCTAAAAGAGAAATGATGGACATCATTAGCACTCAAAGTAAGCTCTACTTCTTGGTTTGGTTCTGAACTTTGAACTACTCCAGGATTTACACCTCCATGCTGAAGTTAAGCTACTTATAATAAAAAGAAAACACTTTTCATGAAATAATGCATGCAGTGCAAATAATAGGTTAATCCTACAAGAGGTCCCTGATCATGTCGTATTGTGTTTTTAGGTCAAAATGCTTCCACATAAAAAGGAAAACATTTGCAGAAAAGACCCAAGCACGTTGCCTAAAGGTCATTACAGCTTGACATATAAAAAATTAACCGAAAGTCAAAAAAATGTGAAAACATATTAAAATCCAAATGATGTGCTTTGGCTCCAGATGTAATGTATAACTGTGAGAAGTTCATATGAGAAATACAAGTAAGTTACACAAGGATATTAACAAGTAATCGCTTACCTAGGAAGGTACTAAATCAATAAAAGACCAGTTTTTCCAAAGATGGGTTCTGGAGCCTTCAAGACCAGTAGGCATAGCTATTCTGGGCTTAATATGCTTGTCAATCCCAGTAGTTAACATTCTGCCTTAATTTTCCTTCAGACCCTGAGAGAGTGAAGTGACATTCTGACCTGGCAGGATCAGGTCATCCTCTCACTAATATTACTAATATATAGTATATAGTATATAGTATATATATATTATATATATATATATATATATAGTATATATATCAGTATATATTATCACAACATTATTCTCTGCATGGAAATAACCTCATAGCTCTCCTAAGCCAATTCCACTTACTAGAAATGTTTATAAAATAAAATTATAAGGATAAATATGATGAAGCTCAGATGCATCTTCGCTGTGAGAATAAATAAATAAATTTGAATGGTTGTGGGGTTTTTTGTCTTGTTTTGTTTTGTTTTGGTTTTGGTGCTGTGGGTTCCTTGAACTTTATAGAAATCCCTCTGGTAGCTTCTTTCAGCCCAATCGGCTGCTTCTAGTAACTTCGGTATTTACGTTTAATGTATGAAACCCTTCAAAGAGTTAACCCCGAATCTCAACTTGGATGAAAATAAAAGCTCCTAAAATTAAAAAGATTAAAACCACTAGATGTTTCCTTCTGATTTGTTAGGGAATCCAAAGCTCAGAACTAAATTATACAAATAAACTGATAAAGTTAAAAACCACAGTTGTCATTATAAAAGAATGACTGCTCGTGCCCTATTTCCTTTTCCTTTTCGGCTTAAGCAGATGATGATCTCGGGAAAGCTTTATTTCAGAAGCTGGGGGGCTGGCCCCTTGCATGCCCTCTCCGGGCGTCTTCACGTTTTCACGGGGCGCACTGGTGTGGGGCCAGAGAGCTCTCTGTGTGGGCGCGGGGGAGCGACAGAGACCCAGAGCAGGCTGAGCACAAAGAGGAAAGAAGCCGGTATTAAGTGCATCCTGGGCTCTGCTTTCCGTCTGTTATCCAGGCTCAGAACCTCACGCAGCTGATTTTCTAACACCCACCACTCCAAATGCCCTTTTCCATTTCCTCGGATTTCCATTTTCACATAGGAAATCTCTTCCTGCTGAAACTGAAAATACCTACTGAACGGGATCAATCATACATCTTAGCCAAAGAAAAAACAAGACCCATTTTATTAATTTTTTTTACAAGATCCATTTTAAAATGTCAGATAATGTAGGGCATTTGAATGGTTCACGATCTTACGTTTAAATGCCTGTACGACATCTATATAACGATCTCGATCAGGAAAATTGCTGTAGGGTTTCATATGTTAGTTATTTTGCATTTCAGCAACCCCTCCGTATTGTGATGTGATCCTAGTAAATACTATTCTTGTCGGTAAAGCAGATATTGAAAGGAAACATTGTACCAACCACCATTGGATTTGCCAGATGTAGGGTACTAAAAATGCTAGTACTCATGTTTGAACCATGGGTACGCACAAACATGTTTTCATATTTTTCCTCTTTGGGGCCAGAATATTAATTTCTTTCATTGGATGAACATTCTTATCCTCACAGCAAGTAAGTCAAGTGTCCTTCATTGATCAATTCATCCACTGTATCTCAAAATGCTTAATTTAATGCCAACCATGCTTCCCCACAGGGGCCCCAGGCCTCAATAAGGCAGGGTTCCCACCCTCTCATTACTCACTACTAGGGAAAATTTTAAACAAAAATACAGACTATGAAAATGGCTCTAATAGATGTGACCATGTCACACTAGGTCCATGCTGTTTCAGTGACTCGGAGAAGCTTTAAAGAGAAAGATTTGAGCCAACTGTATGCTCATGATAGATGGCACGTCACGTTTCTGTTATTATCAACTGCTAATATAAGATCGGAAGGCTTCAGTCAGATAAACGAAATACTGAGTTTCTACATGTGCCAAGAATTGTGATTACTGAGGGTTCAAAGACAAACGAGACACAGTATTTATCCAGATGACACACACTTCAGCAGGGGAGACAGACATGTTAAGACAAAATTACAGTAATATGATAACTCGTTCTATTATATATTACATAGAGTGCTAATACATGTTATAGCAATGAATATCTAATTATTAATTCTGAGAAAGCAAACTGATACTTTAAAAGGTCGATTTTATTTTTAATACTAAAATGTCGGTGCTTGTTTCAATCAGCTGGCTTCTTGCCAGGTTGCACAGGAACTCTAGACGTGCATTTCAATGAGTCAGAGAATAAAATGTTAACGATTCCATAAATGCACTCACTCTCATCAGCGTATTGTCTAAGAGGCTTTCGGATCTTGGGGATTCTTCAAACATCACACAAATCCCTGTCTAAGGGAGGTGAACTTAGAAGTAATGCAGATACTTAGAGGAAATGTGCCTGTAATAATAATGATAGCATGCAAGACAAGAGAAGCAATAATCAAGTAACAGAGTAACTGTTTGAAAAAATAAATCAGAATTTAAAAACCCAGTCTCTAATCAAT